AAAACTGGGTCCTCCCCCAAACCTCAACAGCCATTAACTATGAAGAGCTACACTTCAGCATCTTTATCACAGTTCTTAAGGACTTTTCAATAGCTTCCTGTCTGGATTTTGTCTTTTTTGGGGGGTGGGGTGTTACAGAAGCCTTCAAGGTCTTTCATTCTCAGTGTGGGTCTGCAGTCATCAACACAATTGCAAAAGAAGCTTCCTTGCCCATAGCAGCCGGCAGCAGCATGGATCATGGACTTCCACAAGGTTCTGGGAGGCAGCATGGGTTATAGACTTCAACATGGTTTTACAAAACCTTAGGAGGCCCTGAGACATTAACACAACTGACTCCATGATGGAAGCGCCATTCAGGCTGTAAAACTTACCACGTGGACAGCACCACCTGCCAAAACTAAAACAAAAGCCTAATCCATCAAAGCCCATTGTTCTGGGAAGTCTCTAAATGAACTAACCTTGCACTTTAACTTCTGTAGTTCCACTTCTGGCCAACTGTTCTTGTTAACTGAAGAATGTCAACGCAGAACATGTTTTTTTGTGCTTAAAAACTCACCCTGAAAAGGGGCTGAAGGCTACACTGGGATCAAGAACACCCTGTGCAGTTGTTAGCCAGCTAATGAAGACTTTCTATTGGCGTAACCCACATCTGAGCAGCCTTCTCTGGTAAATACCCTACAAGAGTTTCTGGTGGTAGCTTTGAAAAAAATACACCTGTTCCCGTGCAGCAGCATGGACCTCAGACATGAACACGGTTGCCAGCAGCAGCAGAGTGACCATGGACATCACCATGACAACAGCACAGATCACGGATGCCAACATGGCCTCCAGCAGTAACACAGAAGTCTTTCCAGGAGACTTAATCCAGAAAATGAACTGTTCTTCACCTCAGATATTTTGTTGCTATTAGTCAGGGTGATCATGTGGTTGGATGGCGTGTGTGTGTGTGTGTGTGTGTGTGTGTGTGTGTGTGTGTGTGTGTGTGTGTGTGTGTGTAGGACCCGCATGAGCCCCAGGCTGCTGTACACCACCCTGCCCTGGCACTGGTCCTGCCTACGATCCTGCCAGATGTGCTGCAACCCTGAACTCTCCCCTCCCCAGGGCTAGCAGTGCAGTGGCAACACCGGCCTAGTTGGCAGACAGGGCTGGGGTGCAAGGACGTGCTCCTTCGTCGGCTTCAGCCGTGCTCCCCACACCCATCACCACCGCCTCCTCCCTACTTCCCCTCCACCGTTCGCCGCAGCCCCGTTCCACCATGTTTTCCAGTTCTATGAAACCACTTTTCAAAAGCATCTTCCCGTAGGACTTGGGTTCCCCGAGCCCTGACCCCCACAGATATTGTGTGTTCTGCAGGCTCAGTCTCCCCTTTGAAGCCTCCATGGGTCTCTCAGACTGCTCAGGCTCCCAAGGTCCCTTGCAGGCGAGTGGCTGCTGCCGTCTTGGATTCTCCCTCCACCTTGTTCGAGATGAAGGGCTGTCATTGATCCGGAGCTCCCCGATTTAGCTACACTGGGTGGCCAGAAAGCCACACTTGTGTGGTACCGTTCTGACAGTTTCTAAGCTGCACTCGTTTTTCTAACCAATAAGTGATCCACTTCTAGGAAGAGATACACTGAAGATTAGACTGAAACCTTTCAACACTAGACAATGTTTACTTTTCATAAAGTTTCACTGTGTAGCCAGGTCAGCCTTGAATCTGGAACCTTACTTTTAACTTCTAAATGCTGTGATTATAAGTGTGTGCGACCGCCTGACTCATAGTGCTGGATTTTGACATATTCTACTTCTTGTTTCTGCTTTTAGGTTCTGTTTCTTAGGTTCCAGTCTGTCAGGCTGGATCATCTCAGCTAGCCATCTCAAAACTGTCCTGACCAGTTTGTAGTCCAAAGTCGATCTTTCCATGGTGTTAATCAGCTTAATGGCTTTACCATAGTCCTTGTGGAATCATCATTGTGGTCTCCTGTCATCTTTTTGAAGATTTCAAAGTCACTGTTAGGTGTGGTCATGGTTCCCTGCAGACTTTTTTGTTTTTTTTTTTTTTTTGCCTCCTCTGTGGTTTGGAGCAATCACAGTCTGATAAACGTTTGTCTCTCGGAACCTTAAACATTCTTCCCTAGAAGAGAAAATCTTCACAGCAATTTCTCCCCACCATTTGTCTTGCCAAACTTTTCCAAACTGACTTTTGCTTATGCTTTCTTCTAACACGGTGGTCCCGGCAATTCTTCTCTGAACCAGCAGCAGTAAATCCTTCGTCCCAGGTAGCAGCATCACCGAAGTCACCAACATGATGAGAAGGAGCTGGCAATTCAGAGCAGCAGCCATTGCCTCCATGGTCCCCACCACTGTTTGTGGTTCGGCCCAAGCTGAAGCTTCTCCCAAGCCTCCTAGGCCGGCCTCAAACTCGGGATCCTACTGGCTCTGTCTCCTTCAGGAAATCCTACCAGCCTGCGCCACCACAACCAGCCGAGTGTAGCTCAGGCCTGAGCTGGGGCCCACAAGGCCACAGACAAACAGCTTTTTCATGAATTCAGACCACGAATGTTGGGCGCCAGATGTAGCAGGAATCTTAAAGAGTCTTATTAATAAAATCAAACCTGAGCCAGGTATTGGGGTGAACTAGCAGATCAGAGAACCAGAACAAGCCACAGCTACCTCACCTCATCGGATCCTCAGCTGGTCTTGTTTCCTCAGACTGGAGGCTTCTGAGTCCTCATCCAGAATGGGTCTCAGCTGAACTGCTGCTCAAAAGCTTGAATGCTTAACCAGGCCAAATGCCTAACCAGCCAAATGCTTCTAGTTTCTGGTCCTCACACCTTATATACCCTTCTGCTTTCCCACCTCCCTGGAATTAAAGGCTCGCTTTCTGGGATTAAAGGCATGATGAGTTACCATGCCTGTCTGTATCCTTGAACAGATGGATTTCTGCCTCTGGAATGCTAGGATTAAAGGCATGTGTTACCATTGCCTATCCTTTATGTTTAATATTGTGGCTGCTCTGTCTCTGACCCCAGATAAGTTTATTAGCATGGCAATATTTGTGGGAATACAATACCACAAACTGGGGTGGGGGCGGGGTATATTTAGACACCACAGAATCAGAACTGATCAATGATCAGAGAATAATATTTGGGCCAACAGTTGGTTTTTTATCTGTTAAAAATATAGCTTGACAATCATATCTATGTGCATAAAAATATGTGTAGGTCAAGACCTCATTCTCAATAAGCTCGCTTAGTTTTTCCTCTACTTGGGTTTACCTTTTGTTCTTCCACCAAATAGGCATTGGAATACATTTAGTTTTCAGTAAGAAAATTTCAGTTTAAACATCTGTATGGACTTTAGATGCACCTGAGTGTTTGGAACCTGATTGGTACACTTCTATTTAATGCCATAGAGGCCTAAGTATGGGCAAGGAAATCACCTCTTCACCAAACTCCAGGGTTTTTTTTTTAATTTTTTTTTTTAGGTTGAAATGTTAGAGAACTCAGCTTCATAATGCACAGCAGAGCAGTTAGAAAGTCATTGTTGTTAAACAGAAGTATGTCAAACAAAATTCCTTAAGATCCTTTTCAGTAGCAAAAGGTTTTGACTCCAGAACTACACACAATTGTTCTCTTCAAAGCAGAAAGGAGGCCCAGGGATGCTGTGTGCCTCTGCTGGGGTCCTGGGATGCTCTCAGCCTTTGCTTGGGTATTTTGAATTCTTTGTCAGATTTACATATCCTCTGACTAGTCATCTTCAACTACCTTACTCAATAAACTCATCCTTTTGAGGTTGAGGTTGATTTAGGGAAGCAGTCTAAAATTATTTTGAAACAAATTTGATGACCGAGTTGTCTAAAAACAGTAGTCATCGAGTTCACAAATACATAAACTCCAAGATATGAGTGATACAAACATATATGTACTTGAAAATAAGGTGAGACAGACAACATGTTGAGACAGGTTCTCTCCTAGGCTAGCCTTGAAATTGTGATCCTCCTAGCTCAGCCTCCCAAGTGCTGGGATTAATGGCATGTTCCGCCACACCCAGCGGTTTTCTTCTTTTTAAAAGTCATATGTTGCAAAGTGCTAATGCAGTCTTGCAAATGCATTCCAATGACGGTTTGGTGGAAGGACAAAAGGGAAAACCAAGTAGAGGAAAAACTAAGTGATCTTATTGAGAATACAGCCTTGAATTTCTTGTGCTCTGTCCTTTGTGAAGGACTCCATGTGTTCATACTTTCTCCAAATGAGCAGCAAATGATGCTACTCACACTTACTTTTCCAAACTGGAAATGAGTGTGTGGATGTACAACGCCAGTGGCTGGTGCAGGAGAGTGCAGTGTGTTAGCCTTGCCTGCACTAGTCCCTATCTCTCTTGTGGGAACTAGAGGAGAGAGTCTCAAAATCAAACCCAAGCATTTCCTAACATTTAACATGGAGTCCCATAACTCCTACATGTGTGCACATGTGCACGTGAGCATCCCAAACAAAATGCATTTTGAATCTTCATTCTACAAAGCCCAGAGCTCACCTTCCCCATCCCATTCCTTTATAGAGGAAAAAGCAATCCTTTCCAACTCTGTATTTACACAGGCCTTTGCAGTTTCTTTTACCACCTACATCAGCAATGGCTCCAGGACTGTTCCTTTGCTCAGACTCTTCACTCAGTTACTTTGGCACCTATTTGTCTGCTGCAGTGTCAAGAAACAAGTGTATGACAGTGAGTCCATTTACGAAGATCGGGTGTATTTTGTGAGCCCCTCACCTTTACTCTTAGCATAGTATATAAGATAATTCTGTAGAAATGTGTGTTCACTGAATAGCGATGTAGCAAAGTGCATCAGAATGCACTCTGTGCTACCTCTTGAAACCCAATTTGTTCTTTGATATCTACTCTGCAATGGTGCACCCAGTTCCCTCAAACATTCCCACTGCAGTGTACAGCAGTCAGCCAGGTCACTGTGGGACCACCAGGCTTCTCCTGCTGGCCACAGACTTCAGTGCTGGTTGGCAGTTGAGTAGGGAAGGTAGTTTTTCTGCCCCCGCCATACAAGCACCAGAACACTGGTCCCTTGTTGGTGCTGCAAGCTCAGGCCTCATTGCACAGACAACTTGTGGTCTATGCCTTCTTCTGGTCTGGGAGTACCCTTTATAGATGCTGTGGCAGTCTGAATGAGGTAGACCCCCATAGGCTCATGTTTGAATACTTGGTTTCCAGTTGGTGGAACTGTTGAGGAAGGATGGGGAGGTGTGGCTTTGTTAGGAGCGGTGTGTCATGAAGTGGGCTTTGAGGTCTCAAGACTCCTGCCATTCTAAGCGTGCTCTCTGGCTTCCGCTCAGCAGGCTCCCATCTAAGCGTACTCTCTGGCTTCTGCTTAGCAGGCTCCCATGCCTTTGCTCCGCCATCACAAGCTCTAGCCTTCTGAAACCATAAGCTCAATTAAACACTTTATTTCATGAGTTGCCTTGACCATGGTGTTTACCACAGAAACTAGTACTGATGCCCACAGCATACACAAAGGGTGTTCTCCAGCTTGCCCTGCAGTCTGACCACACATGGTGTCTGTACCTTTTCTAGGGATGCCTTCTCCCAAGTCTGCTTGTTGCATTATTCCCCTCAGCTCCCATGTACTCAACTGAGTTCTGTCACATCCTATAACCATGTCCATCAGAACTTAGTAAATCTTCATATTAAACCTCCCCTGTTCAAATCAGAGTGGGCTGTGGCTTTTGTCTCCCTCAGAACTAAACGGATACAAACGATGACACAATGAAAACCGGTATTTCTAAGTTTTTATTTCTCAGAAATTTCAAAATCACACATGCATTGAAGCGTTTAGCCGTATGGAATCTCACTGTTCCTTAGAAACAGATGGTAAACGCACACCTGTACGGAGCTCCAATGCTGACTGTTTGGTGCTGCCTTCACCTTCACATGCTCGCTGCGCTGGTTCCGGGGCTGTTATTTTCTGTTTCTTGAGGATTACTTTGAGATTCTATTCTTAATTCAATCTTTCCCCTTTTATTTTTCACCTTTATTTCTCCTCTCAGTAGGTAATCTCTTTCTGATGATAAATGCCAAGTGCGGAGATTTGCCTCCATGGCAGAACGCCCACTGATCATGCCGAGGGTCCTGATCCCATTCCTGACACTGGAGGAAGATGTGAAAGCAAACTACAGAACCCAGTAGTACTGGCCCCAGTGCAGACACATTTATACTAGATGAGAGTGCTATTTTACATCCGTCTCCCAGCAAAACACAAGTCGCAACCCTTAAGAGTTATTTGCTCCAAGAGGACAGACAGCTGGGCATAGCTTTGGGCTCCCGAGGTGTCACTCAGCTGCAGTGGCCCTAGTTTCTTTGGTTTTATGGAGTCAAGTTCCAAAGGACATATAAAAGAGATTAATCTGAATCCTGTAACCAGAATCTATGTTTCCATTGTCTACATCCTCATGTGAATTTTTCCTTTTCACCCTTAAAATATTATGTACTATATCATGTAATATACACAATGAAATGACATAATGTTTAATTGGTAAGATAATTCATTCATTATGCCTTTGTACATTGTTCAATGCTTAAAAGCAGAATGGTACATATATTTAAAACTATAGAAGACTAAAACAACTATATGCAATTATACAAAATGATAGCCAAAATATTGATTTCTTAAATATAGTACTTTAAATCTTAAGTAATTGAACCACTGAAAAAGTAAATTTCTTCATAAAAATATCTAATGCCACCAAATACCCCACTTTATTATAAAATTCTTTAAGGTCCACAGTGCTGGTATTACACATTTATTACAATAAGAACCCATGGAGATCAACAACAAGAAACTAACTGCAGATATTCTGAACTAACATTTCAGACTGACCACATGTTCTGTGTAAAACTTGGCAGGAACTGTCCTTTACTAGGCTGTCCTGTGTTGCCTTTGAGTTACTGATTTTTAAGAAACAGTGCTGCCCCACACTGGATCCACTGGTCCTGGTTGCCCCCACAGGGAACATCGATGTTGGTCACCACACGGTCCCTCTCGGCACTTGTATAAACAGGCAAAGAGATGCATTCGTCAGGGGAGTATGGACCATATGCACCCTGTTCAAAAGAAAAAAATGGTCTAAAAATACAGCATCAAATACAGACCTTCCAATTACTATGTGTATTATGTATTTATTTACACTTCAAGTAAAGATTACTATAATAAACTCCTATATCCCACATCAGTTCACTCACACCCGATCATGGCTCCTTTAAAAACTTGCCTAGGGCCAGGCAGAGGTGGTGCACACCTTTGATCCCAGCACTCAGGAGGCAGAGGAAGGTGGATCTCTCGCTAGCTTGGCCTACAAAGTGAGTTCCAGGACAGCCAGAGCTTTTACCAGAGAAACCCTGTCTGAAAACAAACAAAGAACCATCACAAACAAACCAAAAAAAACCCACTAAACCTTGCCTTGGGACTGGGAAGATGACTAGCAATCAAGAGGACCTGAGTCAGACACATAATAGAGGCAGTTATAATTCCAGTGCTCCTAGGGAGATGGGAGAATTCCAGGAAGCCTGCTGTATGCATTGGTACACGAGAAAGACTCGTCTTCTGATGACCTCCCCAATGTGCCCAACTACATTTGTGTTTCTCTCTCCTCTCTCTCTCTCTCTCTCTCTCTCTCTCTCTCTCTCTCTCTCTCTCTCTCTC